GGAGACTTCAATTCAAACAAATTTTTGAATTGAGAGTTTTCATTTTTAACTACATTATTACTACATTTTCTAAGTTTTCATTTATTCTAAGTTAAACATATTAAATCATTTGCCAATTTTCTCACTATTTCTTTTGCACACTGTGGAAACATATTTCTAATTAAGTTCATTTTGTATGTGACAGATATGGAAGGGAAATAAAGACAGGGACAGTGTTGTTTATCACAAGCTGAACCCACCCATCAATGCTCGTTATATCAGACTCCGACCAACAGCATGGTATGATCATATATCACTAAGGATGGAGCTTTATGGTTGCCAAGGTATGAAAAATGTTAAGGCTGCTGAGATTCAAGATTTTTGAAACACGTTTTTACTTCTGCATCTTACCGAGTGTATAGATATGTTGTAAGAAAACTTAGACATGTTTATTTTAAAATGGTAATTGAACATGTGAAATAGGGTTTTTGATTCATTTTTCTTTCCCATGAGAAAGAAGTTAGTTCTTTTTTGACACCAGATTAGGCTCTCAGCATCACTCAGGGAGACAGATTTTGAGGCTAACCTTATAACAATGATTCTTTTAAGGATGCATTTGATTTGTGGTTTTCACTTTTATTTGAAATGTCATTTTATTTTAAATCACATTTTATAATTATTGTATCAAATTTTTTTATTTTGTGGGATTATTTTACTATAAAGTGCCTAGGAGACAATCACTGGAAATGGTGCTATTTGAATAAAGTTCTTTATATTTATTATTTCTATGTATTTAATTTTTTTTACGATATAAAATTATTATTTTTACCTTGTCAAGAATTCATAAGTTCTCTTTCTTAGACAAACATCTTCATGAATGCATTCTTGTCATCTCGCTTTTGTATTTTTCCTCCTTCACTATGTGCAGAGTGTTCAGGACCCCTTGGAATGGAAAGTCAGCACATTCAAGATGCTCAAATCACTGCATCTTCAGAATATGATAGAAATCATGCAGCAATCCAGGGAAGATTGAACTTTAAGGCTGGTGGAGGCAAACAAGGAGGATGGTCAGCTCGCCAGAATAATGGAAATCAATGGATGCAAGTGGCTCTTGGCAGTTACACCAAATTAACAAGTATAGCGACACAGGGAAGGAATGCTCACAACCAGTGGGTGACAGCATACAAGCTGCAGTACAGTGATGATGGAGTGAACTTCTATTACTATAAATCACCAGGACAGAGCTCTCCCACGGTATTATCAAGCCCACAAAAGTGCACACTTAATTTAAAGCTTTGTTGTTTTTGTTTTCAATGATCTTTACATGTATATCTTTTACTAAACTAGCTCAGGGTCTATACTGTAAGTATTTAAGCTCCTGGTTTATCACCCAAAAGCAAAGCTGACACGTTCAGGCTACAATCAGGTACAGGCTATAATCCTGAGCAGAAAAACAAGACTCTGTTTCTTTCACTACTAACTTAGGAAACAAGTTAAGTAAGATATCTATTAACTCTGGATTCATATGAGGGGGGGAGGGGGAGGGGAAGACTTCAATTCAAACAAACTTTTAAATTGAGAGTTTTTTATTTTAACCTACATCATTACTACATTTTCTATGTTTTCTTAGATTCTTACATATTAAATCATTTTCCAATCTTCTCACTTTGTCTTTTGCATAGTAGAAACATGATTGTTTCTAATTAAGTCCATTTTCTGCATTAAGTTCATTTTTTATGTGACAGATATTGAAGGGAAATAGAGACAGGGACAGCGTTGTTTATAACAAGCTGAACCCACCAATCCAAGCTCGTTATATTAGACTCCGACCAACAGCATGGTATCATCATATATCACTAAGGATGGAGCTTTATGGTTGCCAAGGTATGAAAAATGTTAAGGGTGTTAAATTTAAGATTTTTAAAACACATACCTACTTTTCACATCTAACCAAGTGTAAAAATACGCAGCAAGAAAACTTACACATGCTTGATTTGATTGAACTTGTGAAATAGGGTTTTTGATTCATTTTCCGTTCCCATATGAAGTAACAGGAGTTTGCTTTTTGACCCCTGCTACTTTTTTTTTTTGGAACAAACAAAAATCATAATGTATCAACATTTCTTCTTTGGGCTGCATTTACTGGAACCGGTGTCATGTAAAATGGCGAGTATCTTCGACACATTTGGAGGAAGCTAATTCCCCCGCCAGTCACTGCATTATTGTTTCCTTCATGATTTACAGACTAACTGCTCTTTGTCAGGCCAACAAGTTACATCTGAATAAGATTTCAGTTCTACAGAAACGGGCCTTGTGCTTTATATGTCTAGGTAGTGGAAATGATCATGCAATCGATATTCCGTAGGTTAATAATGCCAGTATCACACCTTCATCGCTCCCTTAAACATCGACAACAGCAAGGAATAATTGAAGATATTGCACATGTTTACTTACACTCTTAGTATTCACTCTTATAATCCACAGTCTTCTACCGCCAATAGCTTCATTGCGTAGAAAAATCGAGACTCGAGTTGCAAAACAAAGCTACTTCAAGAATTGGCGCAAAACTATGAAATTAGTTCTTTCCCTTCTTTCTCCTCCCTCTTCGGTAGAGGCAGAATCAGGCTCTTTAGAGAAAACTCAGCACCATACTGACTTATGTCATGAACTCTTTAACGAAGAAAATTCCCATATCAACATATCACAAATCGTTTCAAAAATTAAAATTAAAGTAACTAATAAACAATATTATCATATGGCCCGCCGGGAGTGGTTGCGCTTGGTTCTAGCAAGGATGAAGACAATAGAAACGTCGTTGGAACTTAGTAAAGGGTGTCCACGACCGCTAAATAGAGGTGACCGCTAAATAGGGGTAAAAGTGTTTTGTGTTTTGGGGAAATAATTTCTGAACTTTGACGACTGACCGCTTAATACAGCGGTACCATTTTATTACATGTTCGACTGTAATAATCTCTATCTATGAAGGTGATTCGTTCGCATGAATTTGGCAGCCAGTAAGTAATAATTCGTAGTTTGAAAGTAACAATTCGTTATATGTTGTTTTTGCCTGTAATTTATTTTGAATGTCAAATCTTTGAAGACTCGAAACTATTAATAAAGTTTGGTGGTGGCGTTGTTGATGAAGGATCATTCGGTATAACAGGAATGGCATTATTGTGGCAACTGACTACTTAAGTGCATGTCTTTGTAGGTTTTCAAAGGAAATAAAGACAGGGAGAGCATTGTTTATCACAAATTAAACCCACCCATCAAAGCTCGCTACATCAAACTCAGACCAACAGCATGGTATGGTCACATATCACTAAGGATGGAGTTGTATGGTTGCTCAGCAGGTACGATTGTTGTCTTACATGCACTCATTTGGCACTGAAAATTGGGAAAGTTTTGTATCTTTATACTATTATGCTTGTATATTTGTATTTTCATTTAAAGCTTCCGGAATAAATGTCCTCTGCGACGATAAAAATATGACCATTGTTATCCCAAAGTCCCTTATCCGTGGTCTTGATCCAAAGAATCTTCGACTCCTGGACACCAAATGTAAAGGGAAAGAAGGACAGGCCCACCTTACCATTACAACACCATTGACCGGCTGTAAAACAACTAGCAGGTATACACCTACAGCTATCATCTACTCCAACACACTGCAAATACCCGCGGCCGCCAACAGTGCCGTGACGCGCGTGCGTGACATAAAAGTGCAGTTCAGCTGTTATTATTCCACTCATGGTGTAGTTTCATCGCTTGGCTGGAAACCAATAAACACAACGCTTGAATTCCGTGATATAACAGCCA